GTGAATTAAAAGGTAACAATTATTTATAAAAAAATATATTATTAAAATATAAAAGCAGTATATATATTAAATGCCTTACACTTATTTTAAGCTCTTCTAAAATTAACAAATAGAATTATTTTATTTTTACAGTTAATTAAAAATATAATATTTAATTATAACTTTACATTAAAAAATGGTAACGTATATTGTAAATTTATTTATTTTACTCCAAATTTTATTTATTTGTTAAATAGCGAATCTATTGATCTTCAAAATAAATAATTTAATATATTTTAATGTATACAATATAGTTTCGTATTATATTTTCGAACAATTAATTCAATGAAAATGGAATATCTTCAAAACCGTCCTTTCTCTTAATATATTAAGCATTGATTTTAATGGTAGAATAGTAATTAAGTATACTTAATAAGCAGAAGTTAATTTAATTTGTTCGAATATCTCAGATGTAGTTTAAAACTTATAGCATGTCATTTATCATTTTGTAATACGAGAAGATACTTTTTGACTTAAACAAGGTAATCACCCTCAGGTTAACTTGAAAGCGTTTATATTCTTACCTTAGTTCAGGATTATATAAAATTCTATCTAACCTTTAGAATGATTAAAAAATTCTTAATATAATGTATTATGTTTTAAATGGATATATGTTTCGTTGAGTAGCTGTTAATGTAATGAATTTAGTTTAATTTTAAATATCGCATTTAGTTAACATACTAATTTTTATATGAAAAACAAAAATAAATTAAAAAATTTAAAGATATTTTTTATATTCTACTTTGATTGTTGAAGCAAGTTTATATTTTCTTAAGCCAGNAGTAATTGTAACAATTTTTATACTGATATATGTTATCTTTTTTTCCTTTTTTTTAATGGCGAAGTACTTTGTCTTTATTTTCGTACACACGATAATTGTATAAGAAGAGATAATATAGACATATTTATATTTGATCATAAAATCTTCGAATTTTTTATAATATCCACTAATTGCTTAATCCCATTTTTGTAAAGAGAAAATGGTAAGTACTCGAAAAACGATTGTGAAATTTAACTCTGGGATGATGTTATAGGAAGGCGCTTTCGTCACTAGCACGTGACTTGTCGCATTACCCAATGATCAGTGACTACTTGCAACCGAAGGTGCAGTCGCAGCAGAGTCCTGAAGCCGCACACACTGTTCAGCTTGACCGCAAGTATCTCATCCATCCTTCTCTTTCAAGAGAAGGTGACCAACCTGTTACTGATGATTATATTTGAAGCGATGTAAATACTTTGAAGTTTCATTATTGGCTTATGAAGTGTATTGTGAATGTGTGGCTAATTTTACAAAAGCACCGATTTCAAAATGGGTAAGGTTGTGCTGTTCAGGACATGTTTGTATTTTCTTGTAACTGCGTACGCTCGAGGTAAGTTCTATCAGATATTATATATGTATGTTTATATATATATATATAATATAAAACAAATAAAATAATTAAG